TTTTGTTGGCTTGTGTGGGGGCAAGAGAAGCGGAAAAGGATGCCCAGGGAGTTAAAAATAGTTTGAAGAGGGGTGTTACGGTATTCTGTTCCATTGTCACAGTGTACATTTTTAATAGTCGTGTTAATTTTCGTGTTAATAGGAACCTGGAGTTTGACGTTAGAGATCGTTGTAAACGCAAGATGGGGGGTAGGGGAAGAAGAGTTTGGTTTTTCGGAGGCCATGGAGTATATGTTTGGAGGATTGTTTTAGAGACAGAGGGAGGCTGTGGGAGTCTCTGCCATGGGGAAGTAGGGTGGCGGCAGGGGGAGAGAGAGCTGCTGCCGTGGGGGAGAAGAGGGGTGGCGGCAGAGACAGTAAACGCCGAGAGAAAGAGGTAGAGGGGAAGGTTTCGGGGTTAGCCTAGGGTAGGCTCTGATACCATGAAGAATTATTATTTTCCTCGATTTAATACAATGAATCTACCTCCCTTTATATACAAATGGGAAGGGGTTACAATAAGGAAACAACAATAAATGTGAATCCTATACAAATAAGGTATGTACTAGATTTGATACGGGAAATATGCTTAACATATTTAACTAATATTCTTAACATATTTAACAGGTGTGACCCCATTTGGAAGTGAGTTGGTCTCGGGTTCGGTAAGAGGTATCCTTGTTCATCGCCGCAAAGAACTTCTTCTTGATGCAACCCCACATCGCATCCTTCGTTTTTTCTGAACCTTTAAGAAATATATAATTGAATGAAAAAATATTTTAATTCAAATATACAAAAACGAACATATATAGAATATATATTTAAAAAACATATAAATTTTACCAACGATAGGATGCTTGGAGACGTCACCCAACAGACGCTTACAATGATTCTTCCTCCAGCAGCCACTTTTGAATAAACTGTGCCATCTCGGTCATGGGCTTGTCGCCCTTTGGTTACTCTTCTGGCGCACACTTTTTTGTGCACTTGGTTCCGACTGAGTCTCTGGAACTGACTCCGCGTCCTCGGGATTCATCGAGATTTGCGTATCGAACAACGACGAAATACTTCTGCACGATTGGTAAATCCACATCACTTGCTCGTTTGGCTCGAGACCGGGCAAAGGAATGTTATAACCGAAGGAATCATGTTAAAAATAAAAGAAATACTTGAATAATTTTTTTTGAGAAAGAGGAGAGAGAGATTTGTGTTTGTGGTGTGTGTTTAATTTTTTTTAAAGAATGGATTTATAGAGGAGGAAAATAATTTTTTTTAAATATTACTCCCTCCGTCCGGAAATATTCTTCCCACTTTCCTTTTAGGTCCGTCCGGAAATATTCTTCCCATTTCCTTTTTTAGTATACTTTTTAAGGATAAATATCAATAATACCCTTCTATTTTATCACAAATCTACTTTTTTAGTACTTTTTTAATAATAAAAGGAGATTTAAAAGTTTATAGTATGTGCATTTTTGAAAATTTGCATTATTTTTTACTATTTCTTAATAAGCGTGCCAAGTCAACACGGGAAGAATATTTCTGGACGGATGGAGTAACATGTTATAGCCGTTGGGAAGGGGGGGGGGTGGGAAACGATTCTTTTGAACCTTCAAAATAGCGTCAAACGTTTGACGCTTGATAAATGACACTGGCATAATGGGCCAGGGAAGGTGGCGGTGTTTAACGTCGGGGGCGTTAAAATCTGGAAAAATGCCTCCCGACGTAGTTGGTATTACCAGTGATCTAATGTTAGTGATTAGTAAAGAATTTTTAATCCACTAGGATAACATATCAAATATATAGTCAATTTTGTTAGAATATAAATAACTATTCATGGGCTACAACCACAAGCTTGAGCTTTTGGTTGAATTGGTTCCTTGACATGGTATCAGAGCCTTGATGACCAAGTGGTCACGAGTTCGAAACTCACCGCCACCCAGTTTAAAAAAATTAAGGTTTCACGTGCAAGGCTCAAAGAGGTCACACCTGCACGTGAGGGGGCGTGTTAGAGTATATAACAATCATTCTTGGGCCACAACCACAAGCTTGAGCTTTTGGTTGAGTTTGTTCCTTGACATGGTATCGGAGCTTTGTTGACTAAGAGGTCACAGGTTCGAAACTCAACGCCACCCAATTTTAAGAAAATTAAAGGTTTCACGTGCAAGGCTCGAAAAAGACTACGCCTGCACGTGAGGGGGCGTGTTAGAATATAAATAACTATTCATGGGCTACAACCACAAGCTTGAGCTTTTGGTTGAATTGGTTCCTTGACAAAATTTAATACTCCTTCCCTCCTAAATTCTTTGTCACATTTCGAACGACATACAAAATATCATTTATTTTAAAACCATTTTATTTATAAACTGGTAGAGAAAAAAATATATCTGAACCTAATGTTTTCATTTAACTCTATAATAATACTCCCTCCGTCCGGAAATGTTCTTCCCGTGTTGACTTGGCACGCTTATTAAGGAATAGTAAAAAAATGCAAAATTTTCAAAAATGCACATACTATAAACTTTTAAATCTCCTTTTATTATTAAAAAAGTATTAAAAAAGTAGATTTGTGATAAAATAGAAGGGTATTATTGATATTTAGCCTTAAAAAGCATACTAAAAAAGGAAATGGGAAGATTATTTCCGGACGGACCAAAAAGGAAAATGAGAAGAATATTTCCGGACGGAGGGAGTATATTTTAGTAATAAAACTATTTTGAAAATAAAATATATAAAATAGGTGTATAAGTTAAAAAGTATCTTTTGACAAAATGTAAAATACTTAGCACTTAAATATTGTATACTAAAACAGTTTATGTGCTATTTCCAAATTCTACTCTCTCCGTTTGATTTTTTCTTCCTGTTTTGACATTTTTTGTCAACGTTTGAAAATTTTGACGAGGAATAATAAAAAATACATTAAACTATTATATAAATTCAATATTATTAAATTCATTTTGAAATATAATTTTTTTTTAAAAAAATCATATTTTCATAATTTATATATCTAGTTTATAATAGAGAAATTTTATATTGCACTAGAGATTGTGAAAATCTAAATGGAAACAATCTTCAATTGCGGAGGGATTAACATAGATTAATATATCACACATAATAATTCTTTGGCAAAATCTTCCGTAGATCTAAATTTCATGCTCATTATATGGACCTTAGTACATTTGTAATATAAAAAAATTTGGCCTTTAAAAAAAATTTCTACATGCAAGCTTATGAAAAATATAGACCTTATGACCATGTAAGAATCAATCTAAAACTTAAAATAAAAAATGTCTCTCACAAATAGGTCAAATAGTTCCTATGTCCATTGTAGTTTAGGAAATACGGAGTAGGTGTCAATCTCATGTTTTCAAAATTTATTTATAAAGTCTCTATAATTTTTGAAGATTGCACACACACCCTTAAAGTCTCTAAATTAAGCAGCTTCCGGTACAATGAAAAAAGACGATTGAAATTGGTGGTATTCAATTTTTGTTGATAAGATTTAGTAATTGTTGTGTTTTTGGATTGGCACGGCACAATCCACAGGGAAAGAAAAGAATTTTTTTATCACACAATTGCCAGGGAGAAAGAAAAAGATTGTGCGTTCTGGCACACTAGGAAGAAGAGGAAGACGGAGATCGATAGAGTTATAGTTTGAAGAACCCTTACTCCGATACCATATTGGGAATTGTAATTAAACCCCAAAATATAGTGAAAAGAGTCACAAAGTATATATAGATCTAACTATAAGACAAATTACATAATAACCCAGGATTAATATAAATTATATCTTTTGTCTAACAAAAACTATTTTACGTTTATTTTTTTCGGCAAAAGAGGGAGTATTTGTACCCAATTTGTGAACTACAAAGGAATACTCAAGCCCATTATCCTATTTTTCTTTCATTTTTAATTTATTTTTAAAGATTATTCTTTATGATGTTTTAAATTTTAAAATTACAATTCCCTTTGTCTAAAAAAAGTCTCCTAAATTGACTTGGTAGAAAGTTTAAGAAAACTAAAATATGTGATTGAAAGTAATGTAGAGTCGTAGTGAAAAGATGAAAAGATAGCGAGCCAGGTCATGTATTTTCCAACTTATTTTTTTTATTACTTATTTTTATTGGAATCAGATTAGATCAGACCAGGTTATAAATAACTTTAAATATAAGTACATTCAGATCAGATCAAAACTTATTCTAATCAGATCAGAATCAATCCGTTCAGGTGAAGAGAATATGACACTTGTCAAAGTTTTCCAAAAAAAATTGTCGAAGTTTTCCTAAAAAAATCCCTTTTTAAATTTTAAGTTGCCTTCCGTTTGCTGATCTGATTCCCAAGTCTTTTTACAAAAGAACGGAGAACTCCAAGACAGAGAAACACCCTGTGTGGCTCTCAATAGACCGATTCTTTCGCCTGCGGAAACTCAAGGTAATTCAACCAGAATGATCTCTAGATAGTTCTTTCATTCCTTGGCCTCCACAGTTGTAGTTTAAATCTAAATTTTGTTTGGTTTAGAGCATAGATTCAGAACAATTTTACTTGGTTAGTCTTACTTTTTGGTTTTTAGTGAAGTGCATAATCTTTATCCATGTGGGGATTGAGATGCATAAACATTGTAGCAAGATCTATTATTCACAGATTTTGACTTTATATTCTTCTACTGGATTCCAATCGATTGCAATTGTGAATTTTCGGGTGTGTATATTGAGTTAATTTGGATTGTTGAAGTAAATTGCGTAGTTTTATTTTTGTGGAAGGTTTAGGGAAGACACTAATGTCAAATTCTTCTATGGTCTTAAGGTCCATGCTCGTGTTATGGACTTAGTGCATTGATATCGTAAATGAATTGGGCCTTTGGCAAAAAGAAAAGGTCCACTTGCTAGCCCATGAAAAGTGTGATAAGGTCCACATTTTAGATGTGGACTTTAGGACCACGGAAGAACAACTCTTGGGAAATAGGGGGATTTTGAATTGCAAAACGTTAGGTTTGACGTCACCGGCTACTCTTTTGTCTTGATGAGGTTGGAAACCTAGAGACATGAGATTGTTCAAAGGTGAACTTGAATAAGAGTTATTCACCAAAGCAATGAAGAGTTGCATGAGATGCAATTTGCAAGTGATGTCTACCTAAATAATGGTGTTTTTTGTAGTGAGTAAGTAAAGTTCACTCAAAATTAGGGCAAGTATGGACTTGACTCCTTACAAAATGTAATGTTATAATCTATTTAAATTTTTAATTAAGAGTGATGACTATTAATTTGAATAAGCTAATTGCTACATATTGAAAAAACAACCTCTGGCACTCCTAGGTAAGGGTAAGGTCTGCGTACATTGTGCCCCTACACCCTGTTCGTGGGATTTTACGACATTGGTTGTTTTGGTTGATTGGTGGAAACATAAATAATACTGTAATTTAGATTACGTGACATTTATTTTTGCACATTTTATGGTAGATATTCATGACAGAGAATAAATCCAATACGTTTTCAATGCGCTCTATCCTTGAGAAAGGAGTAAATTCTATAATTGGTCCTTTATAACAGGGAGGTTTCTCTATTTAGTCCTCTATTATCAAATATTACCCAAGTGGTCCTTCTTTTATGGGTACCTTTCCACAAATAGTCCTTTTTTGATCTTCTATCATGTTGGTGTTAATTTGAGGGCTAAAAGTGTAATTTCACAATGATAATATATCTTTTTTTTCATACACAATTCCAAAGGCTGTTCCGTTTGCGTCGTTTGTGAATTACAGTCGCTTTTTATGACAACTATAGTCTACAAATGTGATCTTTCGTCAGAATCCTAGCCCACAATCATAGTCATTATTTTTGTGTTATCCGCTTAACCAATATAAGAACACGTCACTAGACATAATGTTGACGTCAAATTATACTTTTAGCCTTTAAATTAACACCAACACGGCAGAAGATCAAAAAAAGGACCACTTGTGGAAAGGTACCCTTAAAAAAAGGACTACGGGGGTAATATTTGATAATAGAGGACTAAATATGGAAACCCCCCTGTTATAAAGGACCAATTATGGAATTTACTCCTTGAGAAAGAGAAGCTTAATGGAGAGAATTTTCTAATTTGGTACCAAACTTTGAGGAGAGTCCTTAAACAAGAAGGGACATTGTATGTCCTCAATACAGTTCTTCCTCCACCACCTCCAGCAGATTCTACTATGGCTGAGAAGGTTGCCTTTATGAAGCATGACAATGATGCCACAGACATTGCTTGGCTAATATTTTTCAGCATGACTCCAGAGATTCAGCTTCTCCATGATGAGAAGAACGCATTCGATATGGTTGAGAATATGAAGCACCGTTACCGACGAGAAATTAGGCAAGAGAGATATGAACTCTCTAAGACCTTATTTCGTTGTAGATATTTGCAACAAAAAGATTCTGTTGAAATTCATCTTCAAAAAATGAAAGGCTACCTTGAAAGACTTGAGAACTTGGGATATCCTTTGGGTGAAGAGTTGGCAAGGGATTTAGTTCTTCAATCGTTGCCTGCAAATTTAAGTCAGTATATAATTGACAATAAACCAAATGAAATTGACAAATCCCTGCCAGATCTATTTCAAACGATAAGGGATGCAGAGAAAGAAATCAGTAAAACTAGTCCTGACACATCTTCGATCACCCAATGTAGTAAAAAGAGTGCTATTTGCAATGTGAGGACAAAGACAGAGGGTGTTAATGTTGTTGGAGTGCCACTGCAAACAAAAAATGAATTAGAACCTACAGGTGGTGCGGCTGGAAAAGGGATTTGTTTTCATTGTGGTGTAAAGGGTCATTGGAAGCGTAATTGCAAAATCTACTTGGAAGAATTAAAGAAAAATAAGGAAAACGTCTCTTGTAATTCAGGTATATATGTTATAGCTATTTATTTATAATTGGATTTTGCATTATGAGTATTAAATATGGCACATGGTTCTCACAGTCACATTTGCTTAAATTTGCAGGGACTAAAGAATTACAACATGCAACGAAGGTAATACATAGACCAATAAATGGCAATAGAACGAGATTTCAACCTTAGTTTCTTGATAAATACTCCCTCTGTCTACAATTAAATAATCATTTTTCTATTTTGGGATGTCCCACAATTAAACTCAAATCTACTATTGGAATTTTTTTTTATAGCAAGTGTCTAATACGGACGATTATTTTAGTAGCTTTTTCCAGCCTGCCCCACATTTTAATCCATTATTTTTTCTTAACCCAGACCACTTAAATATAGATGTAAAATGAGAAAGTCAAAACAAAGAATTATCTTGCATAAAACACCGAAATCAAACTGAGATTTTTTTTATCTATAATTTTAATGGTTGCTTTGGGAGGTAGTTTGGTGAGATGAGTTCATTCTGGAATTGCGATTACGCGGTCCTTAATGATTTTATGTTCTAACTCACGGAAATATGATTAGAATAACCCAAAATTATACGTATTTTTTACCAAAATTATTTCTCGGAAAATTCATTGTTGCATGATGTCAAAGGGTGTGGAGAGTGAATTTCATGACCCAGGACTGAAATTTGAGCGGATATGTCTGTGTATGAATAATCCTGCGAAATTGATATGAAAAGGTTGTTATTGATGTTTGATGTTGCGCAGGAATGCAAATCGCTTAAGCGTAAGGCAGAGGTAGAAGCCAAGATCACACCAGCACCGGAGACGAAGAAGAACACTGCTGGTCAGAGTACCACCAAAGGTCCTCTGTTGCCTAAGAAAGGCCAATCTTCGGAAAAGACAATCTCTGTGGCAGGTAAAAACCCAACCAAAGAACAGACAGTGATCCCACAGTGTGCAATTTTTGGGAGACTTCATCCTGGAGAGTGATTGTTTTCAATGTTGGCAACATTGCCTCTTCCAAAAGACATGCCCGACCAAACCTCGTATAGCACAAACTCAAGAAACATAGAAATGCAGCAACAACCGCCTTCCAAATCACTATAAGCTTTCCTATATTGGGAAAGAGAAGCTACAAAAATGGGAAGCTTGTATAAAGTTTTATTTGGGAACTTTTTTGTTAGTGTTCATGGGTCGATAGGAGGATTTTTTTTTTAGTTTTTTTCAAAGAGCCCAAATCATACTAAGGTTAATAAAATAAGCGTTGACTTTTAAAATACAATATTTTGCCTTTTTTTATTTTTCGTGAAATTAAGAAAATATTTATATAAATTACATGGTTTGATAAAAAGCATGAGTACCTACAAGAAAGAAAATACAAGGAGAAAAAGCACCGAGTAGAAAAATAATTTAAGCAGAGATGAAACGTTGAAAAGAAAAAGTGATGTGACATTAATTGATTGTTTCTTTGTGTTTATAAATTAGTCCGATATACTTATACGTTATAATGTATTTTAATAGTCAGTTGATAATTTTTTTCTTTGTGCTTATAATAAAAAAAGTAGATCCAACCTATTTATTTTTAAGTCAAACTTTTTTGCTTTGACCAAATTATTTACTAAATCATCTCTAACCTATTATGAATCGGATTGGTTTCCATGACTTTGGTCCGATTGTCATGGATGACTTAGAGTCCCTATAATGCTACGTTTGAAAAATTAATGATTTCTACCCACTTAACTTTTCCAAACCCATTGTCCTTCTCTGTAGCCAGGGAGGGGTTGAGGGGCATTAAATTTATCAATTTTTTAAACAAAACAAGTTATGAGTCTCAAGTCATCACATGACATTGATAATCAATGTCATGAAAACTGCCCAAACATTCCCAAATGACTTCCCTCTCATTTAAGATTTAAGTGGCATTAAGAAGAATCACCCTGAATAAAATAAAAAAACAACATTTATTCTCAAAATAGAAGCTCTATATTTTTTTTATCCCAAAAGATATTGTATAGTAGCATTACACTGTATTTTGCATTATTACCTTATTGGCGTTGTACACACATTTTGAGGATGAGAAACACTTAGCTCCTATTTGTGTACATTCTCCATATTTTACTTATAGTTCAGTCATTTTCTATTAAAAATTAGAAAATAATTAACTAGTTATTCGCTATTTTCTAATAATAACTCTCAGGTCTTACATTATTAGAAATATATTCATATGGTCCTTAAAATTTGTCTTAATGTACACCAAGGTTACATGCATTCTATTCATTAAGCCGTAAGGATTGAATGTTACCTCACTTTGATCAATCAAACACAAAACCAATCTATTAAGTACTCACATGTCCCATGTTATTTAATTTTACATTGAATAGTCATTCTTTTATTTAATTTTAGTATAATCTTTGTTTTCTAAATTAGATCATTATAAAAAAATCATTACGTTATTTATATTTTCATCACACAAAAAATATTTTAAATTATTCAAAAATTATTTAAATTTTATATTTTAAAACATCAAGGTATTTATAAATGTTTAAAATTTTAAAACTATTCATGAATTTAAGTATTTATAAACTTTTAAATAATTTAAAATTGAGTTTATGTATACTAAAACTATAAATCTAAACAAATATATTACAGAACATGGTATAATAACATTGAAACATAAAATGACTATTATTTTTGAAATAAAATACTCTGTCCGTCCATGAGCATTTGTCTATTTTTGATTTTTCGGTCAAAATTAATAAACTTTGACCTTAAATTAAATAAAAAAGATATAAGATATTGATATAGAAATAGTTTTATTAGATTAATTATATGAAATATTTTAAAAATATTATTTTATCTAATCAAAATATAATATATATTTTACAACAACAACAACAACCCAATTAAATCCCACAAGAGTAGGGTCTGGGGAGGGTGTGTGTACGTAGACCTTGCCCCTACTCGAAAGTAGAGAGGCTGTTTCCAAAGAGACCCCCGGCTCAACGTCGAAAGTTGCATTGCTTGACTAACTGCTACTTCATTAATTAAAGAAGCGCAGACAGTTTAGAGATCCATTTTGATTTATTCCATCACACCCCAAAGCCAAAAAATGGTGAAATTTTGGCTCCATCAGAGATGATGGAAAAAATATAATATATATTTTATTTAACTAAAGTTCAAAGGTTGAAAATAGTTTACTGAAAAAAGACAAAACTCGACAAACACTCATGGACGGAGCCCGGAGGTAGTATGTATTTTAAACAAAGATTGAATAAAATTATTTAATTTTATTAAGTAAACATATTACAAAGTTTATAAATAATTTAATTTTTAAAAAATATAAAGTTTGAATAATATTTTTAAAGCAATAAAATGAATTTTGTGTTTCGAAACTATTTTTTATGAAAATATAATTAAGGTAATAGTTTTTTAATAACAACATACAAAGCAACAATTATTTAACATTGAAATTGAATAATTTTATTAAATTTTACTC